TTTCGAATTTTAAATTATATGGTGCCTTCATGTGCACAATATTAATGTTTTCAAATGTTTTTCTTTTTTCATTAAGAATATAAAAAATATTTCCTCCTTGTTTCGGTTCCAGTTATATGGCTGGGAAATTTCACCTACCATCAAATTAACCCCTGTACTTCTTCTATCCTCCTCTATGATAAATAAAACTCTACTGTCTTTTGTCACCCCTACCACAGAGTACTAAAAGCCAGGTAAATAAAATCAATATCGGTAGTTTAAATTGAAGTGACAAACAGTGTTATGAGCACACTAATTCATTAGTGAGCGTCACTCGTAACCCGATAGCGAGTCATTTGCGAGTACTGTCAGTCGCAAGTGATTAGCACGGATGTGCGCCTGCATATATTGTTTGTTGCATATTCAATTGTTTCTGTGCTAACGAGGAGGCTACGAGATATAACATTCGTTTGGTTTATTTTTACGGCACTAACCTTGTTTAGTCATTCATACGGTGTTTATAATAGTGGCTTGTAGGTCTGGTTAGCACATTGGATCTCAATACAGGGTTCAAGGTTTGATAGAGCGAAAAATTTCAGTAGTATTTGAGAATTTTTAAAAGATATTTCTCATAGTTTGTTTTACTGAAATTCGCTCTTATTCTGATAGAACAAATGTTCAATAAGTTGAGAAAATTCGTCGATGACGCATTAAGACACGGTAGCTCTTTTGGTTAGCCGTTAGAGTAACAAGCACGGAACGCTGTGGATGTGCCGATTCATTTCCTGCCTGTGGCGTAAATTATTTCGAATCAATTTAAAGCAAAAGTACTTAAATATAAACTTTGCCTTCTATACCTTATAAGACTTACTTATTAAATTTTCATAATACACTTCGTAGGTTACACGCATTCCATATGCGCAAGAGGCCCTGGATTCAAATAAAATAGATTTGCAGGAAGCATAACAAACAGTTTCAGTTTTGCACGACAAAGATACTCTTTTCTTTTTAAATAGATTTTACACACCCATTCAAACGTTCTATTGATACACACAATCTAAATTAGCATTAAAATCTACTGAATAACAATCAAACTAAACGCCGACTATCGCTTAACTGTATCCAGTATCCAATATGAGCTATTGAGGCTATAAAAATCGGCATAAACCCGTAAGCGGAGTGCAACCTGCAAATAAAGGCAGCGTTTGATCGTAAAACTGTCCGATTGAATCGCAGTCGAACGTCCGTCCACCTCACACCTCGGAAAAAGCTATCTTTTTGAGCCTAACGTACATAATATATAGAACTTATGTAATTAACAAGAGAACGTCGCCGATAAAAATAATTAACTAAAGATAACATTTTTTATGATAGCAGAAGAACAGACTTGATTATCTAATAAGATACACTGTCGATTAATTTTGGCTTTGAATGATCAGAAATCCTCGGGCGGCCGAAATGCGTTTAAGCTTTTTCATCTCTTGACGTTGGTTCGTGACCCGGACGGAATTCCTACCACCTATTTTAATTATTAAAATGACATAAATTTCCAAACGAAGTACCATATGTTGCAGAATTTAGTAAGTACTTGCAACTTTTTGTACAACATTTAAGTGAAGTATTTCCACAAAGAAGTTTCAACACATTTTCGTGTCTGTATGATTATATCTATATTTAGGCAAGATTTATCTGATTAGGTCTGGATTCTAGGCTGTCACTATTTTTTTTTGTGATAGAGTAGGACAGCTAAGTATAGGTCATATAAAATCTCAACTAGATGCGCGACCTATTGGGGCTTTGGAGATTTGGAAATTCAACGGAAAACCTCTTTCTTTGAACCATTAAATCCTGGAGGTAGATTCACAATATAAAGCTATCAAATAACAGAACTAAACTGTCCAGCTCGATAAAGCATAGATAGCATTTAGCTGAATCGCCTCGTTCATACTGCTATCAATTCCTGGCCTAAAAATAGCATAAAACAAAGGGGCTTATGGTGGCATGTATGAATTCAGGTGCAGGTAGGGTTCATGCGGGCATTAATAATGATAAATTTCAGTCATTAATTCGTGGGGATTAGTCGCGCAAGCGAGTGCGCGCTGCCGATAACCAAATATTAACTCAATTAGGAGCGAGACGCCCCGCTCGCCATTCAAATGTCTGCTAATCCTTTCGTTGTAAAGCCGGCTGGAATTAGGAATGGTCACTACTAAGGGTTGGAGACTCATTCCCTTTTTTTTGTAAAAGCAATCTTTTCTACGATTCAACAAAGGTATTATCTTTTTATATTATGATACCTCAGTTTTCTGTGCTTTTTTGAAAGATGTGTAATAAAGACACATTTATTGACGCACTTATACAGCGACTCAAAGTGGGTTTTTACCTAACTGTGTGATATTAAATACTGTCCGTAGTTTGGAATTTAAATAAAACACTAACGTCTCCCGTGAACACGGCTGCTGCAAAACATACGAAATATCAGGCCGTCGTTAAATTATTTTTTAAATAAGTTTAAGTAATCGCGTTTTCAACCGGTAAAGTGTTTTATTAAAATATGTAGTATTATTTCTTTATTTGATTACGACTTCAAATATATGACAATATATAAAAGGCACTATACGAAAACAACAGGAGGTAAGATGAAAGTAAAACTGAATTTCTATTTCACGAACAGCGAAATAAAATTTAAAAAAAAAATATCTCTATAATACACGTCTTTTTTATGCCGCCACTATAGATAGATTGATATATCTTAAATTTAATGGTTTTTCAAATATCTATTGACATTTTCTATCATGTTGTACATAACGAACAAAAGATGTTTAACGTATTGAAGCGCGAACAACAGTATAGTGTGAAATAAATTTGCCATGTATTTTTAAAATGTTTACTTCACCCTGCGGAAGTTTACGTATATTTCACGTTTTTAGACGTTGAAGTCTCATATAAATTGCTATTTTACAAAAAATACTAAACTCGTAAGTTTTATAACGATCAAAATAGTTGATGTCCACGAATCAAGGCTTACTTAGACCACAATAATCATAATATCGATTACACTTAATATGTAATGATTGTTAATAACCTAATTCAATTAATTATATTCAATCAGGCACATTTGCTTTGTTAGCTGTGACAGATTAGGTTGAATTATCAACGATCTGATTGCCGATAAGTTTATAATGAATCCGCAAGGATTATCTATTAGGAAAAACAATGCATTACAACAAGCAAACACAATTTGATATTAGTCAAGATTTGTTACTAAAATAAATTGATGTAGGCAGGACTTGACATCGGCGAGTCGAAAATCTTTTTCAAATTATTTTCCATTTTTTAATTTATATAGTTTCATGATGTACATGTGTACATGTGAGAGTAATGTTAGGTGAGAGTGTTACGGCAAAGTAGCACTTAGAACATTTATTTATTTTATTTATTTAATTTTAACATATATTGGCAACCTTTAATGCGCCCTTAAATAAATTAATAAACAGCCTAAATAATTAAAAATTCTATCTCAAGTCACTATTCCACGCGGACGAAGTCGCAAGCACAACTAGTTATCAATATATAAGAACATGAGAATTTTTAAATGTTACCATTTTTGAAATCTTTCATTAGATATTATACTCGTATTGTTCGATAATTACCTAAAACAATGAATGCTAATTAATTCAACTTAATTTGGACAATAGACATCTATCACATAACGCTTGACAGCAGCTGACGAGACAAATTGATTCCGAGCAGGTATACGTATGTGGACAGAAGCCATCCATCATTGTAATGGTATACTATTGATATCAATTAGAATAAGACTAATTACAAGACAGACGGACTACATTTTAGTATACATAAATTATTTAATTAAAAGATTGTTGATATTTATTGCCCTCTAAATTATTAAACGCGTTGCCATGGCGATCGTCGGCAGACATTCTGTGTTCGAGTCCGGGGAAATATAATATTTTCACCTAGGACACAGAAGCACAGAAGTCAGTGAAAATAGACACAGGAAAGGAAACGATATTTCACTATCTCGGCTGAAAGTATATTCTTTAATATTATTATATTCTACATAAATCTGAGCTAGTAAGCATACAAGTAGAAGAGTTTTGTAGTGTTTTCATTTTTGGAATTGTAGACATTCTAAAAATATATCTCCTAGAATTGTTCTTTCTTTTCTTTTTTTTAAAGAGGGGAACAAGCAAAAATGGGGATTCACTTGATGTTAAGATAAAAACCCCAGACATATAACATCTAAACAAAATGCCCTATTAACTTATTTTGTTTTAAGATTTTCAGGAATCTATAGTTTACGCGAGTAGTACACATTTAAATAAAACACTTTAACGGTTTAAAACGCATAACCTATTTCCCCGTGACCAGGGCTGCTGCAAAGCATCCGAAACGTCGGGCCGAGTTAAAACTCATTTTCAAAAAGATTAACTAATATATCACGTTTTAAACCGTTAAAGTGTTTTATTTAAATTTTCAGAAATCCATAAACTGACACCGAATCGCGGTTAAACTTTGCGGCTATTGCTTCTGTAGACCTTGGTTGGTGACACGGACAAAATTTCGATATTTCTACCACACATTTAATATCCAGATTTCCACATGGAGCCCAACACTTTTCAGAAAAATTATAAATCGATTAGAAATATGTTGGACACCTTAGGAATCAAATCCACGACACATTTATCATTAGGATTACATTGGTATTATTCCAACCGTCCGAGGCCGTCATAATATATCTCAACACGAACATGGCTAAAATTCTTAGAAACCCCACCCTTAACCCATAAACCTTAAACAATCGCTTCATTTCGTCTTTATTCATAAAACAAACGAACCCGACCGAGAGCAAACTTAATCCAATCCGCGAATGAAACGAAGTAAGACGTTGACTCAAACAAATTATTTGACATAATGTCGTTAATTAGAAACCCTCCTTTGTAACCGAGGGTAGGGTAATTAGGTTCGGATGCTCTGAATGGGCCCTTTTTCTGCTCGTTATGGCTAAAACAAAGGAGCGAAGAAGTAAACAGACCGTATTCAGGAAAGAATTTGCATTCCCGTTGACAGTTAATGGATTTTCGGGTGAGTCGAGTTTCGGAACTACTTCGGTCTCATTTATCGAGATTGGATTGGTAATAAGTATCATTTCGTATGAATAAAATCCATTATAAATTTCAAAGTTTTACAACACGGCCAGGACTTGAACCGGCATTCATAGCGTACCGTGCCACACCAAACGTTTCGTATTTTTTTCTTCAATTTATTTTGTTTTTTAATTTTGCTCTATAATATAAACCTTCGCAAATACCAGACACGAAAAAATTGGTTCTTGTCAACAAGTCTCCCCTCAAGGTAATTGCACCACCTTTGTTCTGCTTGATTTGATTGCATATCTTCTATAGGGTACAATAATTATAACGGGCTTTAAGACGCAGGGGCTTAACACTTTTACAATCGACATTTATAGTATAGTATATATATTTATAGTATTATTTACAATGTTAACTTTTCAAAGGACTTGTTACACATATGTTGATTCCAGTAACCAAATAACATACTTATATAATTCCCTTTTGTACTAGCCATTGGGCTTATCTACAACGAATATAGAAAAATCTACTGAAACGCTGTTCGTAAGTAAAATTGCAATGTATGTTGATAGAATCTCATAAAAGACGTAATGCGGCGTAAGGAAGAATGTGTAAAAACACAGTTATTCAAGTGACACGTCATGCACACTCCATCCCTGACAATTTGAACAAACAACAACGTGCTTCTAATTGTATTTGCGATTCCTTTAGAAATCTCTTTTGACTCGACTACAATAATTGCGAAAACTCGTTTTGAAACGACGTTAAATACGACCGAATTTCAGATAATTAACTCAGATTACGGTCTCGGCGTATAATTCGCTTTTGTTGCAGAAAATTCGAAGAGGCAGACAATACTACGACACTTACACTAGTATAGCTTAATATTTTTAATTAGTACATGCAATTTTTCGATTGTTTCCTATTTGATATCAATGCAAAATCCGTCATTTTTGTGGGGCATGGGGCAGACAGATCGTTGTTCGTCTATGTATATATAGGACTGTGTAAACTGGGAAAACAATAGTATAAAAATTATGCAACGATATATAATTATTGTTATATACGAATGTTCAAAGCGAGAATTGGACAGTGCATAAGATGTTGTAGAGACAAGTATGTGTCGTACCAATTTATATCTATGTTAAAGTTTATAGAAGGCAAATAAACTCGTCGTTGATTAAATGTGTCGAAAACAATCGTTCAACCGCCGTGAAAAAATTCAATATCGGGTAACTTAAAGCCGATGCAAATTCGGAAAAATCTATTATAATCTGCATCGCACACTGCTGGACGCTCTTTTCATTCGATGCCTTTTGTTGGCGGATTCAATTAAGTTTACATCGGCACCGAGGTCAGTTAATAAAAACCGAAGCCTACAAAAATTGGCGCGTAAATCAAATTCAATAAAGTGCGGCGTACAATAGTGCAGGACAGCGTCGGAAAATGACGCCGTCAAACAATGGCTACCTGCGAAGCGAGCCCTCGGTCCATTCGAACAGTACATCGTGTACGTTTAATTGTGTTAGTATATTCATATAATACGAAAACGACGGTATTTATTTTAAAACATTTTTAACGTTTTTTTTTACATGAACTATATCACCGGATTTGACTTCGACAGAGTCCCCCTCCGTCTTCAGTCCCCCTGTGGCCATGTCTTATGCGAAGCATCCGAAACATCGGACCGTCATGAAATTATATTTCCCGTTTTTAACCGTTAAAACTGTTTTATCTTTATTTACCGTTATAATCGTGTACAATATGTTTGAATATTGTACACACGTAAAATACAATAATATTTATCATATGAAATTAAACGGCATCAGAAGACAAAAAAAATGACATTTCTAAATACGTTTCACTGAATGCTCTTATTTACAAACAAGTAATTTAGACTTATGCTCTGTCTGACCGAAAAAAATTATCGTTTCCTAGACACTCAATCGGATGACGAATAAGGCATACAGAGTATATAGTAATTCCAATCTATTTATCAGCATTCTCTCTTACACGGCATAGCTGTATTCTCTCACAATTACTATTGGAATAAAAGTCACCCTTTCACATTAAGAATTCCCGTCTACCTTTCCACGTCCCCGAATTAATCGCCCGAGAGCCGCTGTCTATTAAAGTTTCTTCGCAAGTTGTTTAAGAGGCTCAACTCCCTTAAAACTCTGCAGATAATGTTAAACATTCATTTAAGTGCGCGGGACTCGCCTAACTTCCGAATCGTCCTATAAATCTTCTAATTCTTCAACCGTTTAATATTCATATCACCTCTGCACCGACGGTACTTCAACTATATATCTATACTAATATTGTAAAGCTGAAGACTCTGTTTGGACGAGCTTATCTCAGGAACTACTTGTTCGGATTGAATAATCTTTTTGTGATAGATAGACCACTTACCCAAGAAGAGTTTAGGCCTTAACATATTTGGCTGCGATTAATAGGAGCGAAGAAACGGTGGAAAATGTGGAAAAAACGAGGAACAAAAATTAAATTATTCTTCTTTGAGAGTTTCCGTTGCGTGCGCTTCGAAAAGGGTTCAAGATACCCAAAAGTATGTATGAAAGATTTCTTCTCTTTCATACACATCGAGCGAGCTCAGCAAGTTAAGAGTTTATACGACGCGTGATAACGCTATTATATACTATCTTTTACAGTTCTACCGTTTATCGGCATTGTGTCATTCACAGTAAGACTTTTATCGTTATACTAAAACTCGATAGTTACAATGTCGAGTTTTATTTGATGTAATAACGACTCTAAATACGTCTTTGATTGTCATGCAGATATTTCGGGTTTAAAAAATGTTTAACGTCTAATTTTATTATTAAGTAGTTATTGTTGTTCAATAGCTATTTTCTCCTTGTTCTACTAAGGAAGGAAGTTGTAAAGAGTCATTTACAAAAAACCTACTGTCCTGCCATCGTAATCGAGAAATTGGTCTATTCACACGACAGAACCATTTCTCAATAACGACGTTGAGGCAGGTCGAAAACCCAAGAGACTTTGTAAAAAAGCTGTTTGTCAAATTAGTATGTAGTTATTATCTTTATCGTAAAATATAAAACAGATAATAACATTTTTCTTAGAGAGTCCTACGAAATACTATTAAACCCACAAAAGAATCCTTTAAAATGTATTATGCATTTAGTTTATTCCAGAACAGAGAAGACGTGGAGCCATGCAGAATTGTGCCCGCCCCTCCCGTGTTCGCAGTCTTTTCGAATAAACGATTCTTTTTATTATCTCAACATATTTTTCAAAAGTCGTCGCCACTCGGAGCATATTAATACGCGTCCTTAAACACCCCTTACATGAATAATTAGATGTTTCAGGGATTCCTCGGCGTTATCTGGAAAACACGCGTTTTAAATTTGCAAACTCATTCTCCTCGCTTTATTGAGGATAATACATCTTAGCTCGGCTGCAAATCTGATAAATGTCTCCGGGTAAACTCTCTGCAACTTTCTCTCAGATACCGATGAATGAGGATGACTTGGCTCATTTCATTTGGCCATTTTTATTGTAATAATGTCTTCTCCATTATAAACCTTTATTTTTTCATCATGTTTGATTTTATAAGAAAAGTCTAGAATTACATCATTGGAACTTACACGATTATAGATTGACTACTCTTTAAAACCCCCTTTTATTTCGTTGATACGCTTTATGTATCTGAAATTGATAAATATAAAACTTTAAAATTACCATTTTTCTAGTAAAACCTTTTTAATGACGTGCTTGTTTCGATGAGTAAAATATTGCATTCCTCTTTCAAAACATATTTCTGTCAGAATTAAATGCCAAGACGACATGACATTTGTTCTTAATATATCGTAGTTATTAAATTGCAAAATGCGTATTAGACTGTTAACTTTATTAGCTGGTAAGATTATTATTTAATACTCGAAAATTAACTATTTCAATTTTACTATACCTTTTATGTGTTTCAGTATTGTTTGTACGAAGTGCAGCATCGCAAAACAGTAATGAAATTCAGAGGGGCACATATCCCTCTATGGTAAGTCTTTTCAGGTATCAACACTTACCAACATGAAGAATTATAAATAATGTTAATTTTCTAGGTTTTCATATATTACCCAGATGATTCTGTAGTGGATCAAAACGGGGTGAGGGTTACACGAGCTGGTACTTTATTAAAACCGAATTGGCTAATTACATCTTCTCTGGAAACTGATGATGTTCCTCTGGCGTTTCCAAAGAAGACATTGATAGCAAGACTCGGCAGCATTTCTATCGACAAGAACTTTACAATAAACGAAGATGAGGGGGAACAAGAGAGTGAGGTAACAAAAGACACAGATCTTGAGTGAACTTAAGGATTTTAAACAAAGTCCTCGTGGAACTTCTATTTCAGGTTATCCAAATTATTCGGCCACACAACTTCAGCGCTATCGAGTGGTGGTACAGCGACATATCTTTATTAAAAACCTTGATACCCTTTAATAAGACCGAAACTGTTGGAACTACATCTATAATGGCAGAGAAACTTAAAGTTGCTGAGAAAGAGTGCTTCATACTGGTTTACGCTGTAAGAATATATATTAAATTATAACTATGGTCTTTATAGCCCAAAAACATTTTCCCATTAAATTAATGGTTTATTTTTTTAGATGAGAGCTTCAAATCTGACACAAGACAGAATACTAATGGAGATACCTGTAGATATCGTTTCGCCGCCTTCTAATACTTGCGGCAGCCGTTTTAGAGAAAGTACTATGATATGTGCTCAGGATATTGACGAGAAGAAAAATGTTTCTTATGATCCCAACTTTTGTGTTGTTAGTAAACAGAATACCCTATTATAAATAATAGTTGACCATTTTAAACTCGGTTCACTGCATAGAGAGGTTACTTTTGGTTTTAACATTTTCTGTTATTATTTATAATGGCATTCCAATAGAATAAAACCAATATGTTGATCCTTTATGTATTTCCAACAAATTATCTGTTAAATTGTCAATGTAGTAATTTTAAAAACTCCATACATGCCAGTAAGATGTGTATCAAATTTGTTGGCATAAAATACAAGGGTTTTTTTCTAATGCTAAAATTAGTTTATCAAGTCAAATAAGTAATTTTATATAACGTTAGTATTTTTCAGGGTAACGGTGGAGGACCCCTCATCTGCGAAAAAGACATATACGGATTGCAGACATACAGCGATGGTTGCAAAGAACCATATCTATACCAACTGTTTACGCTTTGGTCCAGTTTTATATCGTGCGGCATTCAAGACATATGTAATGAAAAACAATGTGAGGCAGTATGCACCGTAATACATAAAGATTCTGAGTATAGAATGATGCTGAACGAAGTAAAAACTGAGACTACGGCAATGTCAGCTAAATATATCGAATCTGATGATAGTTCTGAAGAACCTAGTCCGGAAGGGCCTACGGCGACTACTGTAAAACAAGATGAAGCTGCGACTACAGTTCCAACTGTTGCAATTCCAGCAGCAGACAGTAGCTTGGATACTGAAGTGACAGCTGAATCTCAATCAACTGAGGCGTCAACAACCAAATCAGACAAAGACAATGGAAGACGGTCTAATGTGGAAGCTCAGCAACAACCGATAAAGAAAAAGAGTGCAGCTTCTCCTCTTGTGCCGTTCTCAATGTATTTACCGATGTTTGCTTGGATGCTTTGTTTTGTTTAAGTTTTTAATTTCTAGAAGTACTTAATTTTATTTTTCAAATAGTAGACATTGATTTTGCGGCTTGCGATAATAAACTTTGTGAATTTGCTATTGCTTTTTGATAGTTTACGAATGTTTTTGGTTTAGTTTGAATATAATCTATATGGATACTGTAAGTAAAGTTTCTTTAAACGGTATATAAAGAAAGATGATTTAAAAAATTAAAAACAAAATTATTAAAGTAAAGATACTTGAATATGGTAGGAACATTCCCTCAATACGGTCTGGAAACTTGATAATGCTATTAGAGCAAACTGCAGAGGCGTTAAGCCTGCACCTTACTTAATTCTACTTATTTGGGAAACTTTGCCTTGCTCGTGCCAGTCCGGAACATCTTTTACGGACCAATTAATATGATAATATATAGTGTATTAAAACTGTCGTTAAAAAACCTAAATCAAGGCTTAAACTTATTGCATAGCATTGTGTTAAGCACGAGAAGTCCTGAATTCGAATCCCTGTGAAACAATAAAATGTATCGGTCGGGAAGGGCACAGAGATCTGATCAACAACTTACTTTCTTCTCTTACAAAGGAAAATGGGAATTAACTTACATGATACAAATAAAAGTGCCACCAATTCTACATAACAATTCAGTTGCATCAACATCACGTTTAAATCGAAATGGTTTTTTAGTAAAACTTCAAGGTTCAACTTAAAATGTCTTAATACAATTCGATATTATAATTCAGGAAGCATTGGGAACTGTTATGAATATTTTAGTGTAGGATTTGAGCCAAAGTGAATTCAGTAGACTAAGCTGTATAAAATCTTTATCTAAGAAACTCAACAATTTTTTCAATTTTTGCCAGAGAGTTTTTCGATTAACAGATAATAGAAAATATTGTCGAATGAATCGTTTTAATTTGTGATGCCAGATTTTAGTTACTAAAATCACACACCAGACTATTTATATTAGATACAATTTTTAATAATCCTATCAACGTTTTCAACCGTAATTAAATACACAAAGGTATTTCGCTTTTTAACCATCCATATTTTAATTATCATATTCCACTTACTAAAACTACAGACAATATTTCATCATCATCAGTGGCTGTACAGCCCCTTGTGGGCCCTAGCCTCCTCTAGTCGCTTCCGCCCTTGCGATCTGTCACGTGCTTCCTGCTTCCAGTTTTGGACGCCCAATATTTCCTAGTCCTCATCTACTCCATCCCAGCCACCAGAGCCTCGGTCTCGCGGGCTTTCGTTTACCACCTGGTTGCGAGTTCAGCAAGGACCTTGGTACTCTTTCATCCGCCATTCTGTGTACATGTCCCAACCACTTAAGTCTGTTGCTTTTAATGAATTGGACGATGTTGGCGTCGCCGAGAGTGTTTATAGGCTCTTCGATATATGGGATAGACAAAGTTTAATAAAGTATATTTATTAATTTATTCTTTTATATTGTTTATAAAGAAGATGTACAGGGCTTTTCCTAACAATGTTTCATAATGCACTTAATGTGCAAAAGTCCAAACAAGCCCCAAAATTTCGAGCATTCTACTTAATCTAATGAGTTACAAACAAAAGAAATTAATTCAACAACCTCGTAAAAAGGAATAAGCAGTTCATAAAACTTTTAATAATTAAAACTCAAATAAAAATAAGAGACGCCGAGCGGATAATACCAATTCTATGAAGCTCTTGTACTCTTTCAGTCTCTTAGGAAATGGGGTCTTCGTTAATTGGTCACGCGGACCATTTTTACAGATAAATCCCTAACTGGAGGGTGGAAAAGTGGAAACTGTCGTTAACTCATCTTGTTCGGACATTACCTTACACTGTTAATGTTAAACATTTAGACTGTGCAAATTACTTTTATTTGATGATTTTTTATGTACTTTCCTATTTTACATTAGTGTAGATATCTATAATCTTAAAAAATCTGTTGTAACTATTATGTTGGGTATTTTTGTATACTTATGTTGGGTACTTTTGTATGCTTTGCAGCAGTCGTGTTTACGAGGGTCCAAGGCGGCTGCAAACTAAACGGTGGGGAACAAATACATTTCGCATTGAAACAGTTACAAGTGTTTTATTTAAATTAATGTCTCGCGTAAACCACTGACAGTACAAACTTTTTGCTATACTTCAAAGTTACCATAAAATCTAGGTCGAGAATGAAAATACATCCCACAACAATAAATTCGATCAAAGAATAACGGAATCGTCAAATCTGTCGCGTCTATAGGCAATTTTCAATCTCTTTCCCATTTATGGCAGTAATAAAGCGACCGGGAAAAGTCAACAATCAATTTTGTATTTCAATTTATTCCCAACCATCTTAGTTCGTGCGGTGATAAGAAAAAGAAAAACGCGTTCATTGAAAACGGAAATGATTGCAAGAAGCCATCAGTGGTGTGCGCTCGGCATCCTGCCTTGTTTTCTTTTTATTTTGAAACTCGTGTGGAAATGTTTCGAGCTTATTTATTACCATTTATGGCATTGCTTACTATTTAACCCCTCCCTCCTTAATTTGTCCTAAGCAAATATTTAAAGCAAGTATTGGTGTCAAACCAAGTTAAATCGAGGATTAGGAATAGAAAACATGTAAAACCAAAATAAAACCTCGTATTTGCTTGTAATTATGGGACTTATTTCTATACTACTTTAACATGTGGTTTAAACAAAATTTGATATCTTACTTGATAAATAATCTTTCTTATAACACTGTTTATCATTGAAATTAAAGATGGCAACGATAATAATTCTATCAGAGCATTTTGTGAGGGTGGCTAGGAGCCAGGAAATTGGGGCGATTTTTTTCTTTTTCACCGCCATCAAATGCGTTAACCTTCATTTTGTAACCTATACCACCAAACGTATTATTTGATCCTGTGTCAGTTCAATATTTCAAGCAGTTTGTGGTCATAAGGCTATTATAACAATTTTAAAACTATGGCGAAATTTGACATTATGCGTCATTCATCATCGCATAATTTGTTTTAGTTTTCTTGACCTACAAACACGACGAGGTAGTTCAATTGGCTAGCAGCAGCACGAGACGCGTTAATAGATTTTTAATTTAAATAGTCAGAATTTTATCCTGCGTAAGAAGTATTTATTTTTATTAATGAATGTAACGAAGCTTTGAATAAAACAAGCGAATTAAAAACAAAATTTTAATCATCTACTTCTTTGGTCATATCATTGGTTAATAGTGAACCAGACATGTATGTTCGTATATATATCGGTAAGGATTCACACAAGAATAACATTTTATCAATAAGGAATGCATAATAAATATTCGCCATATTAAATGCGGAAATAGACATCGGTAGATATACGATAATATTACTAAATAACTAATTTGAACTATCTTGAATATTATGAATTTAAAATTTTACAAACATGTACTATTTTACTAGATTTTTATACACCAATTACAGTATCTACTTACATCCATAATATTATTTACATAAATAATACAAACATCGCAACAATGTTTAGTAAACTTAACAGTTATCATACAAATATACTTACAAAAAATAACAAATGAGCGAGCGGGCACAATCAAAATAATACGGCCAAGCCGTTCAAATAAAAACCTTTTTAGAACTAAAAAATCTATTGTTTAACCAATGTTTGTTTATATTAATATCAATTGACAGACTACGAAAAGCTTAACTTATGTACTGACTATCGAATTTACATATTCCATCATTTCGAACCACAGTCCATAGATACATCTAAACAGTTGTTCAACCCGCTTTTTATAGTACTCCCGTAACATTTAGTCTAATACAATTGCCTTATGAGATCACCTTAGAATATACAAAATACATTTAATAACCAATAAATTTCTATCTAATATATTATATTGGCAAAATAAAAAAGTAGTTTTGGCATATGCTTTGCTCTTTTACCACGAAAAGTTTTTAAAAGACACTACACAGTTGTAACGACATTCAAGTTGTGTTACAATACATTGACCATTTCGTAGCGGTACGTAGATCTAGTTTGGATGCTTGGCGTACATGTGTAGGCCTCAGACGCGGTAGTCTCAGCTGGTCGCAGAGAGTCCCAAAGGCTTAAGGTGTGGTGGGGCTTGGAAGGGAGCTGGAGAGGATCCCGACATATTGTTGTTCAGGTCTCCAGAACGGCTTGAACCGTTCATGAGGCCGCCCATGGCGCTGCTAGTCTGTTAAGAATAGAATACAATTGAATTACAGGATTTATGAAGGAAACGGTTTATGTGTGTATGCTTAATACGAGTCTAATGTCATACACACATAAGGGCATATCGAGACAATTTCTCGAATAAGACACTAACGATTTTAGTAGCTTTTCAAAATGGCCGCAAAAGCCCTGTTTTACATCGAATTCATTATTATTAATAAAAAAAACACTTAATAAAAAAACGATGGTATGACGGTTCAAATCTGTGACCTGCCTCTGGTCTACCAATATTATTTATTATCTGGTCTACCATTACTATTTCATTAAAAAAGTATATAAATTATTAGTCAACTTACCGGTGGTGGTGGTAAATGAGTGGTTTGCCGTTTCAAATGCGCTAGCGGTGGTGGGTTGTACGCCATATTTGCGAACACTAGCCTCTCTTCGTAGTCGTATTCGCAGAGAATTTTGTTCTCGCAAAGGTAGAACCTGTCGCCGACACAGAATCTAGGACAAAATAATTTCTATGAGACGAATGTAAACAAAAGAAGAGGTGTCTAATAAATAATGAAAATGTTAGTAATGTAGTTTGGGTAAGAAGTGGAATTTTACACGTCTTCCCTAAACTTTAAACTAAAACAAAACCAGCCAGTAAATTGGGGCGATATTCAGTAACTTGGACATATCACGCTGGCACAATACAATAAAAAATCTATTTATTTAAAATAAAACACTATTAACGTTTCCACTTCACTTTGTAATATATGAATTAACTAATATATTCCGCGTTGTAAACCGTTAAATTGTTTTATTTAAATAGATCTTTTTATAAACACATAATCTTAATACTTCTTTAAGTTATTCTCAACGCAAAAATTTATATCCTTGTGTTTTGTAAAGTATTATATAAATAAATATGTAAGGTAAAGTACGTTAATTTTCCGTAGTAGTTCTCGTAACCTACCGAGCCTCAATACTTTTAAGGTTTGTCGAAAAAATAAATATACGACGTAAAAAGATATTTTTCCTTCGTAGTAAGGGTTGTAGGAACCATTAAGATGCTATCGCGGGTTTATCATTGTTTTACGGGGTGCCAGAAAACAACCGAAAACGTCTTGGAAATAAAATTTACCGTCACGGCAGGAGAGGTCATCGCGAAGGAGGTGCGATAACGTCACGCGACCGAGCATCCCTCAATGTGGCAAACAAAGCTCAACAGTCGCCAGTGGCCAGCAGGAACCGGTGATAACACCCTTATCTACCCCCCCTCTCCCTCTACGTCTTTCCGCACCCCCCACCCCACACCCGGCCAACTCTTTTGTTTCACTTGTCACAAAAATTAAGCGCAATACCTCGGCTACAAATGTCTCTCTTTTAAAGGGCCAATTTCCACCGCAACTCAGTCGATTTCGCCGCTCTTAATTAACTTTATTTCCTGTTCTCCCCGTTCCCGACTTTTGTTTTTTGGGGGGGGGGCTTGTCCTTTTTTATTTTGCTATTTTTTGTCTGCAGTCGCGTAATGGAAAAGATGTAGAACGAAATAATTTTAATGACTGGGTGCGAGTTAGGCTTTGTGCGCGCCCCATTGTGTCGCCGTGGCGCGAAGTTTGACGTTTTGTTTAATCGGACGTGTCTTGATATTGGGGGGTTTTTCACTTGCTACACGATGTAAAAAATCTCTTTGATCGTAATTAAAATCTGTAACGAGTTTCGCTTGCAATACGGGCCTTAACTGCGCGACTGAGTTGCTCGACATAATTTTTCTTACATTGTTTAACTTCATATTGTCTTGAATAAATATAAAATTTAAGAGTAATTTATGATCTTAGATTAAGATTCCTTCAAATTTGTTACTTACTTTTATCTCTAGTTTTTACGTTATATTGTTTCTTTATCTTGATCTAGTTGTGCCTATCTTTAAATCTATAATTTTATATTTTATCTTTAAGTTATCACTAATTACCAAGTTAATATTATTGGTAATAGATTTTGTAAGTTTAATTATGTACTAAATACTTCGTAAGTCTTATAAATAAATAAAATTTCAGATATAAGTATTTATAATTTCCATCAGCATGTGCTAATGTTTAATGTATGTGCTAAACTCCCATAGGATGGTTTACGAGTTGAAACCCACCAAGCTGCATTGCCTATTAGTGGGATGTGATAGCTATCACTACTAATTTAGTGATATAAAATCTACATACCGAACTAACATTTCGACCCGGAATTTCTCGTGTATTGCAATCTAGCGTCCACTAAACCAACGTGACATCGATTCGTGAGAAAATGGTAAATATTCAAACATTTTGAGTATTAGTTCGAAGTTAGTAACAGGGCATGAATCCAAGGTAATACAATATTGATAACCGTCACGTCTGTCAAGGGATGCAGCAGCAGCCGGCCGATAGCGCGGACTCCGCCCGCGGCGCCGTCAGATTGCTGCTAAATTATTTAGCCGTTTAGCGATATTCGCCCCGATGCAGGCCGCTCGCTCAAAACGGACAGCCCGCAAATTGGATTCAGATTTCTGTATCCGTGGAAATAGATTTGTATCTGATATTAATTCATACGCGCTACTCTATATTGTTAAATAAACGCAAAATTGAGTTGTATTTTTTATAGCGAAATGTAAATAGCACTTATCAGAATAATAAATAAAGTACACTAGCTTTGTGTGTTATTTTATATATTCTAGAACTTGTTTTATAAAAATATTATATAAATAAGGGTTTTTAAAGCTCTTTACAAAGCTTTGTTTACTTTTATTTTTAACTGAGGTACTTCTTGTATTCTTAGATCGTGATTGGGTGCGAAAGGGATACAAACAAACGAATACACTGACGCATTTAATACCATTTTTCTTATGTGGGGGGGCAGACAAGCATGGCTTACTTGATGGTAGCACCATATAACATCTAAGCAACATGAGCTGTGGAGCTAGTTCGGCTTTACATATTTGAAAATACATAGAGTGAAATCAAAGCGTGATTAAACTTCACGGCGTTTTTATCTGTAGACGGACCCGGACGTAATTTTGATATTCCTACCACCCCATTCATATCCAAATTTCCAGACGAGGTCCACCATGTTTCAGAATAATTATAAATTGACTTGAAAATCGTGGTAATCGAATCCATGGACTCGTTGATTATTATCCACTCATTGATATCATAACACGTCCTAGCTAATGAAAATTTTGCAAACTACTCTATATACCCAAACACAACTAAACAGACCAACTGTTTTACAGACAGACCATGTCTCCCAAAGGTTCCAACAATTCTCAACATTGTTTGGAAGTGTAAACATTAAAATGAATACACAATCCGGCGACGATGTCACGCGAGATCTACAAATAGGAGAAAGGTCGGCTGGTGACGTATAAACCATTCAAAGAAGCTCCAATCTCCGCGACCCTTCTATTATTTAAGCAACACTACAGTGTAGATTGCTCTTCTTAAACCCTATCAAAAATTCAATGTCTCACGTATTGCAAAGTAAAAGACTGTATTAGACAAAATTGGCGTCGACTGACTCAAAATTGGTATTGACGTAGAAACAATATCAGTAATTCAGTTATACAGAGATGAAATTATTTTATCTTTGCAATCCGACGACCTGTTGAGCTAAAAATCTAACATACCTAATGTTAATTGAATTTCAGTGAATTAGAGACTTTTGCAATCAAAAACCTGAACGTGTTGGTATTATAAGTTATTCCTAATAACAATACAATTACGAAATTATAAATAATAACAGTTGATAGAAATACGTTTTTTTTATTATTTCGGTTTAAACAAAACAATATGAAACCTTGTGCAATCACTATAGAGGTCTTTTCATCTTATTTTATTTAAGTCTTATGTGGCCTAAAAAGTGTGTATGTGTAAGTTTATATATTTTTGAAGATGTACGACTTAGGGTGTAATATCGTAATTCCCTCCGAGTCACAAACCACGTTTCAGTTTCAGTCTGTGGATTTCGTTCAGAAATCCACAGACTGAAAGCCAAAATAGGTTGACAGCACATCTTGTTTTTATATTGACTTCCTGCTTGTCGGGTCTATCATAAAAAAATAACAATTGTAGAAAAGATATTTTCAAAATATTTCGTTTACTATACAACAAAACTGGCCCAACGACAAATTGAAAAGACAGACAACCGCCTATTATAAACTAATATTATAGTTTCCGTTTTAAACCGTAGTAAATTACGTCGTTACCCGTACCTGCAACACATCTAAATATAGACTATACTAAGGGAATATTAAGCCATCGGTTATTGGATCACACTATCGACTAGACTCGTATCGATAACTTCATCAATAAGTTCGCTCTTTGAGCTCGACAGATCATCGCTCACCTATATAACTGAGGCTGAGAGCGCCGGGAAATCAAAGAGTTCATCTTTGTTTACAAATAGTCTGCGTAATTTTACTTACCCGCTTATGTAATACTTATTACTGAGCAATAAGGTCGCTTATGCAATAGATATTAAGGTAAGTATATAGTATATGCAAACAGTGAAATTCTATGAATTTAAATAAAGCAGTTTTAACAGTTACATTATTTTTATTAACTAGTTACAGTTCCTGAAAATATTCCCTATGTCTGAAATTGTATTTCCTTACGTTACATTTATATTTGACATTTTACTGGACTAAGCACATTCTTTGTATTTTTTAAATTACATTTTCTTATAAAACTTCAACCCCCATCTCCCCTGACCATGGCTACTACAAAGCATCGGATACATCGTCCGGCCGTGGTTAAAATAAATTGTAAATAAGTTACATACGTTTCACGTTTATACCATTAAAAGTGCTCTACGTTCTAGGCTTTGATTGTTTGTTTGATTTCGTGTAAAAATTATAGTCTGGTACATAAACAGACATATATATAAGTATAAAAGAAATGATTTACGCTATGCGCGTAAAGAGACACAATTTAAAAATCGCTCCTTTATTCCGTGTAGCTTTCTTATGTAGCGGAAAATTTAATCGCGCTCTTTGTTTGGTGTCCGTGAGTTGAATAAACCATACAAAGTTCCCAACACAATACACCTGTCCCTTTCGCTCATCACATTATTCTCGATATTTTATCTCGCTCATAAAAGAAGTCTCATAGTGGACTCGTGCTCAATATGCCGACCTCCCCGTTCAATTTTCAGTAGCGCAATCGCTTTTGACAGGTGAGAAAATTAAGCGACTGTTCCCGTAAGGCTACTAGCAAGACAATAGGCTAGATGCGCTGAGTTTTTTAAATAACAACGAAGTTATATCAGAAAATTTCTAAAATGTTTCGACGTAAAAGAACATAATTTTGAACTTATGTGTGAAAATGTAAAACAAATTACTGCTAGAACATTTAAGAATGTGTACAAAACCACTTGTCTATGCCTAGTCACACATTAAGGACTCACTTTGATTTTAGTAGCAATATTGGTGACGTCATTAGCCTGTAAATATTACTTTCAATGTATTTAATGTCACATAATTGATTCTAGACGAAATAACATTTTATTAATTTGCCTTTAAATAAAACACTTTAACGGTTTAAAATGCAATATATATTATTTTGCATTCTTCATTAATGTAATGCAGAACGATCGAATACGGTTATTCAAATCTATTTTTTTATAACTACGGGATATTTTACGTAAAGTCAAGTAGTCAACAGATAACTTTGAGTTTATAATTTTGTTTATATTATAATTACCTGTGATTACATTGCTGGCAGGCGAAACATTCAAGATGATAGACATTGCTGCGCGCGCGCATGACCATCTCAAAGGCGGGAATCACTTTGTTGCATGCCGCACAGTATCCGGTGTTGCCAAATAATCTAAAAATAATATTGTTACTCTGTAAAAATCTTAATTTACGAAATCAATAGGAGTCAAATGAATAGGGTTTGATGAATGTACATTATGTGTTAATAGTAATTAACACGTACAGACAAACAAGTAAGAAAAGCTTTATAGTGTTTTCTTGGAATTTGAAACCCGACTTTATTATGTTTTCCGATTATTTAAAAAACATGCTATACATTTAACACGAAAAGATTTTTTTAATGATACAATAATAAAGTTCTAGTTTACGCACATGATAGGTACACAGTGGCTTATTAAATAGAAAACATTTAAATAAAACTAAGTACTTCCGTGTACTGTATGCAGAAATGGAACACATTTAACTGTTTTAAAAGCGAACTTACGAAGTTATAATTAATTACCAGACAGAGTAATATTTGATATTTAGTACTTTAAAATTAGTTAAGTGTAATTCGCATGGTGAGCGCTCGAAGTTTTTTTACTGTATACCTACATTATTATGTAAGTAGCAATAACTTCAGAGCCAAATCAATTAAAACTTACTTCTAGAGTGAATAAAGGTTTTTACCTTAGATAATCCCGTTTGCACAGTATAAGATTAGCTCTTGTGTACAGAGTGTGTCCAACTTCACCCAGTCTGCAGTCGCAACAGCCGCACTTCAAGCAATCTTCATGCCAAAGCTGGTCCAAAGCTTTCAATAGATATCGCTCTGTAATCACTTTGCTGCATCCCGCACAAATCTAAAACAAGATAATTTTTTTTTAATAATTTTAATTTAATGCAAGCTTTAATCCCACCTTCGTTTTCTAATATACATATGATTATTTCTTTGCAAGGCACTTTACTTACTGTTTGTAGTTTAAGCGACTAGTACACATTAAAAACACTTTAACTGTTTAAAACGCGAAACATATTTAGGTGCTTTGCAGTAGCTGTGGTCACGGGGTGGCCACATCGAGCCAAACATCGGGTCGTAGAGTTAAAAAAATTAATACATAAGTTTAACTAATATATTTCGTTTTAAACCGTTAAAGTGGTTTATTCAAGCACTTTATTTACGCCAATAAAGCACTATATTATATGTAAGTATAAACAATAGTAATAATTAAAAGGTTTAAAATTTGAAACTTTAATAATTAATATAAAATAAAATATTTTTTACATGTAAAATAAATAAATATACAAAATACATTGTGCGAGAGGTGCATGTATCAATAAGTTGAAAAAAATCGATGATGACGTGTAGGACTCGGTAGCTCAATAGAGCAACGTCAGCGTTCCGTGCTGTTCAAGTCCTGCCCGAGTCGACATTTTTTTCAATTTATTTTCGATCTTTTTGTGGAATTGTACGTAATACGCAATTATACGTGACGAAAGTATTTTGCTTGTCAAATAAGATCTGAGTTAGGGTTTACCTGTGGTTGGGGCGGTTGTGTCGCTGCAGCGGCGCCACCCTGCGTAGTAGCCGGTAGAGGTGACGCACGGGCCTCCTTGGTAACGTCCATCGCCAGCATTTGACCGCCTAGCCCGGGGCTCCCGCCGCGGCCGCTCAACTGCTGCGGCGTTCGCCTCTCGCACTATTACAAACAACGGATATTGTGTTTGTTATTCCGTAGAAATAAAACTAGTTAGCTACGACCGGACTATATAAGTCCATTGTTCTCTTTTTGAAACAGTAAAATGTCAACTTCTATGTTCAAAAGAGACTGAGTTGCTTCGATCTGTGGTAGGTACGTAATTTATGTCTTAGCTAGAAGAGATAAGATGATGAACTGAGCGAACTGAATCCACCAGTAACTAATCCATTTATACATTGTAAAAGCAAATAACGAAAATACTGGCTGGACAGAAATAAAAAGTGTAATTTAGAACAGGTCAAAAAACAGCCCCGCGGCAAGCAATAAAGTCAAGCACGGGCGACGTCACGGTTAATTAACACTTTAAATACGAACCATTTTTCAATTAAATTTCGGCGGCAGTATCGGGGCACAGGTGGAGCAACTATTTAATTATGGCAACCCTTGCCACTTTGACTGTACACATCTGTTTTATTTTACGGAATATGATTTATTTTTATGTAACAAAGGCTTTTAAATAAAACACTTTAACGGTTTAAAACGCGATATATTAGTTAAACTTATTTGAAAATGATTTTTAACTTCGGCCCGACGTTTCGGATGCTTTGCAGCAGCCGTGGTCACGGGTCTCCCCGTGACCACGGCTGCTGAAAAGCATCCGAATAATCCAATAATCCGATAAGTTTAACTAATATATCGCGTTTCAAACCGTTAAAGTGTTTTATTTAAATGTGTACTACTCGCGTAAACTATAGACAGTATTTAACAAAGGCTTGTTACATATCAGATGTTTCAGATTCGTTTACTATTGGTTATTTAGATTTCCTACTGAATGTGATGTGATCAGCATTGAGTCATTTTATCTATATCTATAAAATTTGAGAAGATTTACGTTTCTTGGGGGAATCCCATAAAGTGCCAAAATATTCCGCTCTTAATAAAAAAAAATCTACAATATCGGTGTCAAATTAACTCTCCCGTTGTAATTAATAAACATATGTACTAAATAGTCATACCATTAATACGTATTACACATCAAGCACATTAAAAACAGGTAGTCAAATCGAAACAATGGTCAAGTTATGTAATCTAGTCTCCAGTAGAGTTCTTAATACGGAACGCGGTGCCAACAATATTAAACATTGTGTCTCCGTGACGAATGCGCGTAGCACCATTTTTGTATGTTTTTGAGAACGGATCGACGGCCATAAATAATGGATTCGGATATTGGACGGAAGCATGCTGCTCTACTGAAATCGTGTCATTGATTGTTTTTCTGTGAAACTAATCATACTTACCTATTGTGTATTCTTAGTGAATGAAACGCAATTTGTGAATGAGTTCAGTTGTGGTACAAAATTTTCAACCTACAAAGTAAAATAAGCAAAAATAAGGCTACTTTTGGATAGATAATATTTGGTTTTAAAAAGTTGATCACTTGTATGTATAGAAATATAATTTGTATTAAACTCACTCTCTTTACTGAATTATATTTTATTTACAATTAGATTGTATAATTGAAATCTGTTATCTAATATATATTTTAAATATTTGCCATTGTTTTATAATACCTAATTCTATTAAGAATACAGACTACAATAAAAGTAGATTAAATTCTAGAATGCAATTTTAGTGTTAGGAGTAGTGGCTAAAGAGTACTTTCCACGGCTTAACTTTTTATAAAAGCGGATAGCCATGAACCGTCGTGAATAATTACAAATGGAGCGGTGACAGTAACACGCTACGGCACTTCGAAAACAACCCGTAGCTAACGCAGACCAGATTAGGCACAAAAAAGCTCACGCTTCCATTAGCATTGACTTTCGAGTGTCAATACGCACGAATTAGTATTTAAGTGACGGCCGTAGAAGGGAATAAAACTATTACTTCCATTTCAGTTCAGTGTCGTTTCAATCGGCAGAATTCTGTTGCTCGAAGCGGTGGAACAGGCCACATAACGCGTAAGGCTGTGGTCTAATATGAACGCGATACGCTGCGGCTGCTTTTTAAAGAATCTAGATGCCATCAACTTTAGTCATACATATACTGTCGCCTATATTGTTATAAATCATTTGAAGAGGAACCGTTTTCGCAGCGTGTTTAACGGAAACCCTCAGAGATAGAATTTCCCCCTGTTTTTCTATGTTATAATATAAAGTTTTCTTCAATGAATTGTCTGTCAAACACAATAAAATAAGAAATTCGAACCAGCTAATATCAGTAGCACGTCCAAACAAACAAAGAAACTCTTTATCTTTATAATATTAGTATAGATGTATTTGTTGTCTCCTTCACTCACTAACATCGTATGCGTCGCGCGTTTTATTTCAAATCATTCCATCGTAAGCGATAATTTTTTCCAATAAAATCTAATAGTGAGCTTCTTCACGCGGCCTTAGCCGTTTATACGAGACTGTAATTCGGTTTCGGTTGGCCGAACTGCCCGGAATACTGCGCAGCGTGAGTTAGTGAGTTCAAGCTAAATTGAAGGATGCACGGGCCACTAGGGATCCAGTGCAGGGCCACTGATATTAATGATTAACACAGACGCGGTCCGAGACCAATTACCCGCCACCGCCACACTCCAAATTAGAAACTATTTTCGCCCATTAGTGACCAACTTCATAATCAATTATACGTTAAAATTTCACAACGCTGTTTTGGGAACTCTCTGTTTGGATAATCGGAGTTTGTGGTCCCTCGGCGAGCTATTACGCGGCTGTACGGGCCATAAAGGTTTTTGTTTCGCTCTCGGGAAATTTTAATGCACGTTTCGAATGCAGTTAACTGCATTAAAGTAAAACGTAACGGTCTGATAAATGTGACTTTCCAAACGGCGATCGGGAATTAATATCGATAGAGATGGTTAAGGCGGTGGGGCCGCGCGAATGAAGAGCGTCATGGTGTATTTGTGAGACGAGACTAATAGAATTGAGTGCACTCCGCTAATCATAATTCATCAGCGAGATTAAAGAATGCGCGAGGAGAGGGGCGCGTGGAGGCACCCTCGGAAACAATATGATTGCCACACCTGCGGAAATAGCGAGAGTAACGAGACGGGCTAAATAATTCAAACAACTACCAACCATTAGCTGGAACCGTGCTCCACTTTATTTTTGCCACTCTACTATTATTCACATGAGCGATTTCTAAATGCTCCAACGCGTGTTATTTGCAATGTTTTCTTATTTATCGTTTTTTTTTTTTTTTTTTTTTATCAAATATACAATCAACGATACAAAATAGATCGGCAATACAACTGGATTACATGTAATGTGTCTGGGATATTTCACCTAATATCGGGTGAATTCCATGTTTGTCTGTTCCCTAACATAAAAATATATTTCAAAGGCTTTACTTTAGTATTTTTTATTTGTTTTTGTTTGTTTGTACAGCGGTTTACTTATGCCACAGATTATTCGTATGTAGTTTAATATTCAACATGAATTATAATTACCGCTAGTAATACTGTTCTTTAAATTATATTTAAAATTACAATTACAGGAACTAGTTAAGTGTTTAAAATAGATCTTGTTATGATTATTTTGACTGTAACGTGATAATCTATTATTATTTAAATTCTCAAGCAATAATATTTCAAAGCAAAATACACGTAGAGCACACACCAGCCCGTTGGAGCTTCAGCGGCACTTATTTAGCAGATTGCTTTCCTTTAAGTTGTTCTTTAATCTAGCAATGGCCCGAGCTCGTCCGCTTTCTTTCGCACCCCAGTCGCATCTCTTTACATCTGTTAAACAGTCCACGCAATATCCTTCATTCATTAGCACGTGTAAACTCTACACATTAGGTGTGTGCGCAGATCCTTGAAACTTCTAATCTTTAATTGCCTATTGTCTTCGAACGCGACAAACTAACGACATTATCCGAATACTGTCTGTAGTTTACGCGAGTAGTACACATTTAAATAAAACACTAACGGTTTAAAACGCGAAATATATTAGTGAAATTACTATGGCCCATCGTTTCGGATGCTTTGCAGCAGTCGTGCTTTGCGACGTAGTTAAAATAACTAATACATACCGCGTTTTAAACCACTAAAGCGTTTTATTAAGACACTATTCGACTTCGTATATCGTGGCATATTCGTTAATACCTTACCGAGCATATTGGATTACCGGCAGCGCCGGGCTGGCGCAATAATATAACGAAATTCAAACATTAATAGGCTCAAACACAATCACGGATGGCTGCATAATCAAGTTAGCTGCTATTCGGTTAAGCCCCTATCGCGTAATCTGCCCTATTGTCTGACAGTCGTTGTCCTGATCATGAGGGCCGATTATTGTGGCAATTTCGTGTTTATTGTTTTCAGGTGTCTCCCGTCACCAGCCTCAAGGAGCGGCACAATAACCTACGCTATCTAAGACAAGCTACTAAAATTGAACGGTAAACGTTTATGGAAGCTATATAATAAACTAGCTGTACCCGTGACTTTGTCAGAGTGAAATTTTGGGTATCATATTTATTTTGCTCCTCGGCTTTATAAATTATAGCTGATGCCTACGACGTCGTTCGCGTCCCGTCATTCTTGCGAGTCGATCTTAATGCGATAGACGCATACTGTCGCGAATTTTTTTTAGATCAATTATAGAGGAATCATTCGTTCATTAATATATTTAGGGTATTCCAAAGATTCTGTTTCATCGCTCCTATTGATCGCAACGTGATTTTTTATAGCCTTCCTCGATAAATATTCTAACGAATACAAAAATATTTTTTCAATTCTAACCAGTAGTTTTCCAACAAACAAAGCATTCACCTTTATAATATTAGTATAGATATTACAATGCGCATTCCTCGATAGAGCAAACGATAAGAGAATTTAAAAGTTTCGAAAAGAAAGCGCAGTAAACAGCCCCCGACGGCCAAAGTAAGTGATACTCACGTGGATACGTCCAGAAAGTTAAAAGTTTCCACCTCAGTTGGATTCAACTCGCAGAAACAAATAGATAGAGTCGGTGTCAAAACTGCCAAAAACAAAACTATAAAGTTTGCTTTATAACCTAAAGATATCATTCCATTCATACTCGGTGTTTTCAAAAGGGTCGCTTGATACTAACATTAATATTTATAGAAATTTAACAATTATGTTTAATTTTCGTATTGTTTGTGTTTATCACATCGGTGGAATAGTTAAGCAAGTTTTATAAAACCCAGAAAAACACACATCGTATGGATTTAATTACTATTAATATAAATATTATGAAAAACTCCATGGATTTTTCTATTCAATTTATTATATAGCATTATATATTTTATGCGTTATATCGAGAGAAACATGTAAAACATCTAGAGAGTTTATTTCGCTCATAACGTGTATTTAGTGTTGATACACTTAAAATTATTAAGATAACTGA